GTTTGCGATCCGCCATTAACGAAATGAAGAAGAAGAAGAAGAAGAAGTTTCGTTAACTCCGTCCGTGGTCATTTCCCAGGAGCGCCAGGCCGCCTCAGTCACACCCTTCTCCTCTTCTCCTCCACCCCCCACCTCCTTACTCTGCCCGCCATGTTCTGGAGGAGGAGGAGATACGTGTAGCTCTGGCTTTAGCTGGATTAGCATTAGCAGCACATAGCTAGGCGGAGGCGCAACAAGCTTCCCGACAGAAATAAGTACTCCGTCGTGATTCCCCCTCCCCACTTCAGACGTAGCCAGACTTCCTGAAGTGGTCTATCCGTGGAGTAACAATAAAACTGGACGTCTCGTAAAAATTGCGGTAAGAAAGCAATGACTTTTATTCGCAGTCGAGTTGTTTTGTTTTTCTAGGGTGTCCTGTAATCCAGTTTGCTTCGGTGATGTCTCTACCGAGCTCCCGTCTCTGCTGCTAGCTAGCATAGCATGCTAATTTGCATACCTAACGTACAAATAAGGTTGAGAGCCAACTGGAACGGTTGTGTAATTAGGTTATACGGCTGACAGAATATCCTGTAGATACAGCTGATCTAATAAAGATGGTTAGTGATCAACAGTTGTTGTTTTTCTTTTTTTTCCTCTGAACTACAGGAGTATATGAGCTAGCCGACCCGTCAAAAGCTCGGCTAGCTTTTGATCGAACTTTTTCTGTGCTAAGTTTTCGCATTGAAAATGAACACAACGTTCGTTATTAGTTCCACCAACAACCGAACTGTCTCTGGGATAACTGGCTGGTACAAGCTTGTATTTAACTTTGAGACGCATACTTTGGTAAATATTTCAGGGGGTTAAGAAAACTAGTTAGCGCAAACCTAGTCATCAAAACCTTAAGTTAGCGTTGTTTCACTGCCTAATATTATCAGGGTTTATTAGACGTTTGCGCCCCGTCGGATATGGCTATCTGCGCATTTAATCAGAGGATGGGAGAGTTATATCAGAGGATGTTTAAATGGGCAGTTGGTAAAAATTAAATCAGTGCTACACCATGATCAGTCGCTAAAGTTGTCACTGACGCTACTAGCTTCTGTGCTATCAGTCGCTTTAAAGAGGCGCAGTGATTAAAATTGATAAGCGACCAGTTTGAAGTATTTTCTTAACCAGTTCCTCTTGTTTGTATAAGGAGCTAGACTAAATGAGGTTGTATCGCCGTGCTGTGTAAAACTTGACACATTTCTTAACATTTTCAGTGGCTTGTTTCTGTGTGGGCGCTGTCTGCCGCACACCGGGTTTAAATGGTTTTTTAATCTGACGCTGGGGTTTGAATGTGCGCCGTTTTCCTGAAGCCGTGATAACGTGGCCCTGGAGAGGGCAGGGCTTTGTCTATTGTCAGGCTCAGTGGTTGACAGATGTCGTCACCCTCAGAGAGGACAAAGGGCATCTTCTCTTTTTAATACACAGGTGGATGTTAATGTTACATCACACATGTTGGTCTGGATACATTTAAGTCTTGGCTGTATGACTTCATCTAAAAAACAACAACAACAAAAAAACAATTATCTGTGTCTTTAGTTGTCACTAAAAGGAAGTAAATGTGTTTTAAGGAAGTTGCTGAATGTCCTGATGCTTTACTCTGCCTATAATCAGTCACACTCACACACAGGTGCCTGGTTGTGCAAGATTTCTATCAGCTTTACTCTTTCTGTGTGACAAGGTGGACCTGTTCCCAGAGTGCTGCCTCTTAAGCTCTAATGCTCATTATGGTTCGCCTCGTTTGTAACCAAGTCACGTAGTTCTTCAGCTATGTTTGACTTGTCTCGTTCTTTCATCAGACACCTTATCTCCACATTTGTGGTGGTCAGTTTATTGTTGATAGGACTGGACTGTGAGTTTTGTAGCGTTGGGCTGGTCAGCGTTGCCTGAAAGTTGAAGTACGGCAATCTGTGGGTGGTATCTCATTAAGGTGTGACTTCTGGTGGACTGCTTGGCGACTCAGAATTGTGAGAAAACGATTGAATTGAGAGAAAACAATTGAATTTTAGGTTGCAGGCTTACTGAAATTTGGGCGTGTCAGATGTTCTCTTGTCAGAGTAAAGCTCCTGTAAGAGTCAAAACCCAGCTTTTGAGTTGGGGTTACCCACAACAAAAGTCAGGTGGGTTTGAGACGAGATGGATATGTTCACAACAACTCTGTGACTTGTTAAAGTATTAAGTTATTGCCCAGTTTTTTAATTTATTTTTTGGATTTTTTTACTTCTTAAATACTGTTCGTGCCTGGGCTGTGCACCACCACAAATCACACAAGAGAACGTTAAGACGTTTGGCGAATTTCATTCATGAAGCAGTCTCCCAACTAGTTGCATCCCACCGACACACCACCTGAAGGAACATTTACATGCGAAAATTTCCCAGTTTCCCTTGAGTGAATTCATCAATTTGATATTCTGAAATCAATGAAGCAATCAAAATTTGATATAATCCAAAATAAAACTACCGTCTATGTGCTTGATCAAGTCAGTTATCAGCTTATTGTTACCCCTACCATTATCTAAGCAGGGCGTGCTGCCCTGAAAACTGAATCAAGTGCCCCACCTACCAAAACCCCACTACACCCGCGAGAGACAGCCTCTACATGGGGAGCAGATATTGTAGCAGCTCAGACCTACCATTGGTACCATAACACTTCACCACACAAAAAAAAAGAAAAACACAGCCAAGAACGTATGCTGGCCAAAAACGCCGGCGTATGTAACGCTCCACTAACTCTGCTCCAGGTCGACAAACGCAGATGAGCGCCCTCTCAAGGCAAGTGCTGTATTTTCCTGTGTTTAAGACGTTTTGGCGTGTAAGTCACATTTATTATGTGTCACCGCTGACCCGATGTGTTTATTATGCATTTATTTAATGGTCAAAACAGCTTCATTTCGCCTGGGTGGTGCGGCGCCATCCATCCGTCGCAGCTGGAGCCGCTAGCTCTCCAATATTCTTCCGCCTGCACCAGCTGCGTCTTTGTTTATTTTGTCAATGTAACCCAATAGGAAGCCAGACAATTTGGTTTTAATATCAATAAACAGAAGGCTTGTTGTTTTTATTTATTAATTTATTATTTCATTCATTTTTTTATTCATTTGTTTTTGTTTTTATTTACCATGCAAATAGATTTGCCGTATTTTCCGCCGTAAACGTTGCTCCGCCCTATAAGTCGCATCAGTTCAAATATGTCTAATAAAGTAGAAAAATCCATAAATATGTCGCTTTGCCGTATACGTTGCATCTATTATGTGTCACCGCTAATGCGTTGCGTTTAAGTGCCACCGCTGATGACCCAGAAATGTGGGGCGAACCTGGAAATTTGGGCCGGTGTTGTGCCAAAAATCGATGGGCTGCCAAATGGCGGCTGCGGGAGCGTGCACAGGAGGACTTTAACAAGAATTGAACAAGATTAGCACTTAAAAACAATTATTTGTTTGCTAGAAATTATATTAAGGATGTGCTTAATAAAAGGACTTTAACAGTTAAATCAGCTGTATTTCAAAAGTATTCACTGCCTCGGTGCTCCCAGGAGCGCACAGACTGGGAGGAAAAAGGAAGGAGGAACGTGCACGTTGCTTTGAAATTTAACAAGAAAAGCACCTAAAACAATTATTTGTTTGCTCAAATTTATATCAAAGGTGTGTCTCAGTTGAATTTTTACTTAATAAATCCACTTTAATGGTCAAATTAGCTGCATTTTGCCGGGACGGTGCAGCGAAATGAAGCTGGTTTGACTGTTGCGCCAAGCGGCGAGCAGAACGAAGGTGGAAGGTTTTGGCAAGATGTTTGTGTCATTAAACGCTGGTGAAGATTCTCAGTCATCCAGGACATGGTAAATTTAAAAAAGTTTCAAGACAAAAACAATAAATTATAAAATAAAGTATAATAAAGTCCAATTGTTTTTGTTTTGAACTTTTTTGAATTTGTCATTATAGCCACTTTTACCTATTACATGAAACAACGACATGCCTTACTACTTTGGTGCCATCTAGCTGCTAAAAAATGGTAGTGTTCAAAAATTTTCAGTCAGAATGAATGAAAATGGTCTATAATCTTAGCCAAAAATTGGTTTATAAATATGGGAAAAATCCATAAATACTAGGGGTGTAACAATACATAGATTTAAATTGATATATCGATTAAATGATAAATGATTTAATTATATTGTGGCAAAACAAACATCGATTCATATCATCATCTTTAAAATACGCTTTATTTTTAAATTCCCAAGGCACAATTGTGTCATCATTTCCGTGTGCAGCTGCGCTCTGCGGCCGCCTCAGCAACACAGCTAATTTAAAAAATGCACTTAAACATGAGAAATGTGAGACTATACTGAACAGGTCATTTAAAAAAAAAAATTTATTAGTTAAGAAAAAATGTTTTTATTTAAATACCTAGTGCCTGTAATAACAGAAATAAAATGGTTAAATCATATTTGAATTGTTTTTGTAAATTAATTTATATGCAAATGAGATGGGCATTTGATATCGCAATATATCGATCGCACACTTGCAAATCGAATCGAAATCGTATCGTGACAGACTTTTTGATATTGAGAAAAATCGTATCGTCATACAAACAAATCAATATAATATTGTATCGTAGTAAAGCTGGTGATTTACACCACTAATAAATACATCGCTTCAGCCTATAAGTCGCAGGGCATGCAAATTATGCAAAAAAACTTGACTTATAGGGCGAAAAATATGGTACCATCTTGATTATTTCAGGTTTTAATACTTTTTGAAGAGATTCTTAGTTCGGGAAAAAAAGTAAAGCCAGTGTGTTTGTTAGCAAAATTTCTTATCACCCACCAAATGGATTTCAGTGAAACGTTCATGAAGCAATCATTAGATGTACATCTACAACTGATTCGTTGGACACAGACAGTCCAACTTGATTTCAACATGATGCGTTTCTTTATGAAGAAATATGATGTTAGCATATCAAGTAGCCAGCCAGATGCTGTTTTAATAAACAGGCTGCATACCACAGCAAGGGGAGATATTCTTTTAATGGTCAACTGGGAATGTGATTTGAAATAATGTGCACTTTTTAAATTATTACTTTTTTAACTTCTCAAATGGTGCTGGTCAAAATTTGGGGCCAAAACTATCACAGAATTGGCCTGTCTTGTGGTCCCATTTAAATTAATATTTTATATTTTGTGTTAGCTTTATAAAACTTTGACTAATTTTTGGTTTTAATTCAAACATATGGAAACTTTAGAGACATTACAATAGCAGGCTGTACATAAAATCATCTTAGTAGAGAAATTGGTTTTGCTTGTAAGAAATTTTAAACAAATCCACATCAGTCATTGGAAAGAATTGTCACTTGCAGCTCCTACATAAGTTAAAACCCACAGAAACCACAAGATCTGTTTTAAGTAATAAGTGCTATGTGTTGTCATCATTGTATGTTCCCATACGCAAAATTAGTCCTCTGCATTTAACCCATCGCACCTGGGTACACCCAGGTGGAGCAGTGGGCAGCTATGTAAGCGCCCGGGGAGCAATTAGGGATTAGGTGTCTTGCTCAGAGACACCACGACATGTGGAAATGGCTGGGGATCAAACTGGGACTTTCAGGTCCCACATTGGCTGCTGTACCTCTACCCCTTGAAGTGAATAATTATGTAAAAGAAACATAATTGATAGGATTGTAAATAGTGTGTTTAGAAGGTGGGAACAGGCTGAAATAAAGATGTCACCTGTCTTGGTGGGCATAAAGGGCCCTGCATACTCCATCCGAAGCCGAATGGTTGACACGCAGTCACGTCACGTGGTTGTGGGACATTGATTTTTGCACACACCTTGCATATTCCACACACTTACAACGCAAAGCTTTTGGATAACTCCTCCTGCTGCAATATTTGTCATTGCACTGGTTTCTTCCAGCCAGAGTCTCATCCCTTCAAGAAAGCACCACACTTTTCAGTAGAAAGACTCCTCCATACACAACGTTCTCCAGCCAGGAACTTTTGGCCATTTGACTGATTTTGTGTGTTTGATGAGTTATACAGCTGAATGTCTGAGCGCATTTCCAAATTGATGAACATGCTCACAAACTTCTGACCAACCACACAATATTTTGTGCGTACGCCTGAAAAAGTTCAGCCCAGACCTTGTACCAAGAAGGGGCAGACAGAGCTACTCTTGAGAACAAAATGATGTGATTTTCATCGTGCAACTACGTCAACGAGAGCTGATTTTGCTGCTGTGGATAGTGAATGCAGGGCCCTTTAGTCAGAGGTATTCAGAGAAAGAAGCAGAGTGGTTAGCAGGGGGATTTAAGCCCTCCATCTGTTTCATAAAGCACCAAAATAAGCTCTGTAATCAGCAAGTTCTGATTATATGTGCATAACTGACAGTTTGACCAGACTGATGACACAGTCGGTTGTTAGGATGTATCTGACCTGTGTTTCAGGGCGCTCACACAAGCCGTGTGCTGTCTCTTTTGGGCTTTGTGTGATCGGAGAGTGAAATCGGGTCGAGGTGCCTACTAGTGAAGCGGGGGGTTGTTCCAGGATGCGGAGGGGGCGAGGAGGATGAGACGGACAAGACAGACTCCCTTCTCTTCCTCCTGTCAGCTATGGGTGAATAGGTGATTATAGCAGCAGATGCGTCAGTAGGTCTGGGCAGCATTCATGCGGATGCAGTAGGGAGGAGGGCGATGAGGGATTTTCAAGGGAGGACATGCTCCTCAGGAATCACGTTTCTCTGTGAGTTTATGGGTTGTGCCAAGTTGTTTTATTATCCCCCAAGCACATACACTCCTTGTTTCCTTCACCCTTGTTGCCTTCAGCTGTCTGTCCGTGGCATTACCAGGCAGGAAGCTGGATAAAGCAAACATAAAAGCCTTTACACGCAGACACATGCAACTTTAAAAGTTTGAAAAGAAATTGAATGGTTGAGTCATAACACAGTCTGCATAAAAAATATATTGAGGATTTTTTTAAACTGTCTTTGTTAAAGGCCGAGGTTGTGGGGCCTGTTGGTGCATGTTGATATAGGTATCAGATTACAGAACAGGATAAGTCATCATCCATCTTCAGCAGCAGGCAGGGAAACACAGGAAACATTTTACAGTGATTTAAACAGGATCAGCTAAAGTTTGCAGTGACTTGTTGATCTGTTTTATGACTGTATGCAGTTTCCATCTAAATGACATGTTTCATAGAATTTGATATTTTCTTTCCAACAGGCTGTATGACTTAAACGTAAACACACTACTCAGTAAGTAGTAGACTCATCAAGTTGAAGTTGTTTTTCCACGCAGCTGACAGGTTCTCATGGTCAGGGGTTTTCATACGGAATGAGTTACTTTCTCTTTCTGTATTTGTCAGGAAATGATTATAAGCCGGGCCATTGATCTTTGAGAAACAAGACAAGTGGCTCTTCTGGTTAACATTCCACTGGCTTGTCTCCTCTGCCACCCATGACACTGTGTAAAGAAATTTTCATTCTTAATACTGAGCTACTGATCAAGGACATAGACTGCGGTGCATTTACGGTCAGGCGCTAAACTTAGAAATGTATGTGAAATTTAATCAGCAAATTTTGACATTCAATTCAAGGGTTTAACATTCATTCAACCTTTTATTTATACAGGTTAGTCCCATTGAGCCTCGGGGACTCATTTACAAGAGAGACCTGAACATCAAACTAGAAGCATTTCAAATAGAAATTAAAATTATGCAACTTGTTTTTTAATCGTATGCGACAAAAGATCAATTAAAATAAAGGCAAATTGGTTCTTTTTACTCACACTGACAACCATTTAACGTCAAAACAATATTTTATTTATAATGGTGGATAACTAGCAAAAATGCTATTTTCTCATTAATTATTTTTTAATTTAATTAAAAAAATCAAACTAATGCTCACGAGTTTGTAATTTAGTCCTGTTGAACATAGATATTTTCCCCTTTGTTAAAAACAATTTTTTGCTTGTATGTTTTGTTTACCTGTCACTGACAGATGGGTCTGCAGCTTTGCAAAACATAGTAAATAACTTTGAGCCAATTTAGTTTAAATTTTCTTCATTATTTTGCAATAAAACCAAGTGATTTTTGAATTAAGCTACACAACTAAAACAGATTTTTGTAGAGTTTTTCCTGATTGTCCTCTGAACCTGCGCAGTGTGTAACTTGACCACCTGAAGCCTTCTGAAAAGCTCGTAAAACACTTGACGTTCGTTTTCAGCACCTGCAATTTGCCGCTGTACCAATTTACTGTAAACTGAATGACTTTCTGAAAGGTTACATTTGTCGCTGCGCTCGATTCACATCTGATACGAAGTAGGCAGGTGTGGAAAATGCTGAGCTAAGTCTGAAAGTATGAGACATGTTTGTCTAGTTTCAGAAGGAAAGACACTACAGCTGCTTCTATAAATACAAATCAGATGATCTTATTGCTGAAATGTGAAAACTGGAATATTTAGAGAGGTGTCTAGTGTGACTTTAGCACATGTCCACTTGTTCATGCAGAAATAAATCTTGAGGTGTTGCAGTAAACAGAAAATTATTTGAAGTGGTGCTTTTGACCCATGTTTCTTATTTTTCATTGCTGTCTTTTTTAATGTTGTTTGTCTGTTTTAGGTGATGGTGAGGTCTTGTGTGCAGCCTGCACCACGTGTGTGGAGATGATTTTAAAAGACGCTGGTCAGGAGGATTCAGGAACACTGCTTTGGCCTGGAGAAGCCTCTTAAACACACACAACGCTCCCCAACACAAAAGGATTAAAAACAACGTGACAAAGGACACTGACACTTGGAAGTAACGCAAACGTCTGGAGGATACAAACACTTGGACCCTTCTGGTTGACCTTCAAACTTACCGCACTACTAGTGCAGTCTTTTTTTCCTTCCTGTCTGTCCCATCTTCATCAACACCGCCACCATGCCGAGCACAATCCGCCGGCAGATGAAAAACGTGGTTAACAACTACTCTGACGCGGAGAAGAAAGTCAGGGAGGCCACGTCCAACGACCCCTGGGGCCCTTCGTCCTCACTCATGTCGGAGATCGCAGACCTCACCTACAACGTGGTGGCCTTCAGTGAAATCATGAACATGATCTGGAAACGGCTCAACGACCACGGGAAGAACTGGCGTCACGTCTACAAAGCCCTCACCCTGCTCGACTACCTGATTAAGACAGGCTCGGAGAGAGTGGCGCTGCAGTGCAAGGAGAACATCTTTGCCATCCAGACATTGAAGGACTTCCAGTACGTCGACAGAGACGGCAAAGACCAGGGCATCAACGTCAGGGAGAAGAGCAAGCAGCTAGTGGTCCTGCTCAAAGACGAGGATCGCCTTAAAGGAGAGAGGTCAGATTTTTCTAAACTAAATTTGAGATTTGGCTTCATTCATAAAAAAAAAAAAAAAAAAAAAAAAAAAAATTTTTTACTTTTTTTGACAGACCTTTATTATTAGCAAGCTGTCATGCTCCTAGTTATTGGTCGAGGCCTCTTTTCACTGCTCTGGTGCTAAAACTTTGTAAATTCAAGTGGACCCCCACACCCAGTTTCTCTTGTAGCTTTGCAACACAAACTCTGGCAGGCTGAGTACAACAAATAAATTACTTTGCATTAAAAATGTTTTAAAAGCTAAAAACTTTATATCAGCATAAAATTTTAGCAAAGGTATTCTCCAAGTAATTTTCTGTGGCTGCACATTACATATCTGCTGATGAAATTACAAAAAAAAATTACAATTAGGTTTAACTATCCTTTATTTTACCATTGCAACAGAAGATGTGATTGTGCTGGTGCAAACTGTTAAGATTGCTTTCACATCGTTTTACATCTAAACGTGTATTTGTTTGAGATTGGAATAAGGGCTGCACTGTGACTGTATTGATTTATTTATTTTATAACACAAAGGACTGGAATCATAGATCATTATTTTTCATGTATCATGTAATCCTTTACTACATGCTAATAAGATATTTGATGAATCCAAATAGTTCTCTTTGGACTTGATGCCACATCTTGTGTACATGATGGTGATGACAGAAGAGAAAATGGGGAGTGAAGAAATGTGGGTTTGTTAAAGTTGATATTTTCATTCACACTGCCTCTTCCCTCACGTTGAACCGTTCCACACCCCCACTTGAAAACTGTTGGTACGAACGTCTCACAGCTCAGACGTGTCTGTCTCCACCCCCTCATCCCCGTTGACAAACGTCACTGACGAGATGAGTGCCCTGCCATGGCAAGTAATCTAGTGGAAACATTGTAGTATTTTCCAGATCTGACCTTCCATAGACCAAAAACATGCATGTTAGGCTGATTGGTAACTCTACATTGTCCCTAGGTGTGAGTGAGAGAGTGAATGTTTGTCTTGTTTGTCTCTGTGTTCCTGTGATGGATTTGTGACCTGTCTAGTGTGTACCCCGTCTCTCACACAGTGATAGCTGGATATGAGCACCAGTGATCCCCACCACCCCACGACCCGAATAGGAAGAAGCTGGTAAAGATAATGGATTAAGTGTTTCCCCTAGATAACCACCATGGTGGGGCGATCATCTCTTCTGTGATTTTTGTCAAGGGCGGGGCCACATACGTCTTGAGCTGTGCACTGTTTGTACTGACACTTTTCAAGCAGGGCTGGTGTCAGCATGAGGGAAGAGCAGCATAAACGTTGCCTTTTAGCTTTTTAGCTAGCGTGACTGAATTGCGCGCCGTTAGCTTAGCCATTCGTCAGTGTCCAGTAGGGCGCTCAGTTCTGTTGACGGCTTGTATAAACTGTTTTGTAAACCGCTTCTATAATGGTAGGGAAACACTGGGATGGATGGATGGATAAGTACAGATGAAAAAAATCAGTCTTGATGAACCTTAGTTTCAAGACTTAATCTGTACGAACCTGTATGTTCCTAAAAACATAAAATTCACACTAGATTCACATGTAGTACGACAAGATCTTGTAAGATTTGCACACAAAATATGTTGCATAGAAAAAAATTACATGTATATTTTCCCACAAGTTAAACTAAAACGGTTGTCTTTAGTCTTACTGTAGTAGATAGTAGGTAGTAACAGTAGTTATAGTAGTAATAGTAGGTAGTAATAATTAAAGTCTGGTAAATTATGGAATTTTTACATGGAATATAAGTCAAAGTGCAGTCTTCAGCAATTTAAAATCTTTGTTTTTACTTTTTGTTTGGCTATAGATTCGGTGTGTTCTGTTTTGGTGTTTGTCTCCAAAGATATCAAACTTTGCCCCAAAGGTTTTAAGCATCTGTACTGTTGTCATTGTTTTTGTTTTAGGTCTCAGGCTTTGAAGACTAAGGAGCGAATGGCCCAGGTGTCCACGGGAAGCAGCAGTCAAGCAGGTTTTGGTCGAGGCTCATCCCAGCCCAACCTCTCGACATCCTACAGCGAGGAGTACGGCAGATCAGAGGGCTCACCTGCCTCCTACCACGGCTGTAAGTGTGCCCTTGTAGTTGCCTCCCACAGCACACAGGGTTCATCCCATCTGTTTAAACAAGTGTACGGCTGGTTAACCCAATGATTAATACTGATTCTCACCTGCTGTAACTTTGGCCCACTCCCTGAAACCTTCCCCTCCCCCCGTTTTGTCTCTGGCCTGCAGTCCTGCACTAGGGCAGCTGCATTCCTGAGCGCTTTTCCTCTTCCACACACAAACTGGAGGAAGAAGAGCCCCCCACCATTCATCTTTCATCTACACTACAGATGATTCTGCTCCTCTTGTGAGTGATGAACTCACTTATCTTAAGTCAGCAAGAGTGTAGCGAAGTAGGATAGCACCATGGGTCAGGTTAGGGTAACTCGGGAATTTGTTCCAGTTTTTGTATCATTACATGTAAATGTCTTCTGTATGTAGGGAGAATTAATATTCACTGAATCAAATTGGTTACAAGGTTTTTGTACCGAGTTGATTTTGTTTCTGATTTTGGGCTAGTTTGTGCAGCCAGGAGTTCAAAAACAAAAACTGACGACGTGAAAGGATGACAGAGTGGAATGGGAAAATGGGGTAACACGGAGAGAAAGTACAAAAATGGAATGAAAGAATGAACCCTGGCCTCTTTTCCTTTCACACTCTGACCCTCGGTCCTTTTGGACACAGCAGGACAACCGTGTGTGCACGCAGGCTTATTGGTTCACGGTTGTTTGTTGCCATGCTTGTGGTTTTACCCTGCATGAATCTTGCATGGTGCGCTGAACCCTTATTTTCTGGCCTACATTCTGTCTGTGTGCATTACATTTGTGTGTGTGGCTCACAGCCGGAAGCTTTCAGCTGCTGAGTCATCAGTGGAGCAAACGGATGGACAGATTGACCAATAGGAGTTCAGTCAGGCTATCTCTGGGGGAGGTGACAGGGGAGGTTGAGCATTCCAGATGAACCTTCCGCATATTGTTGTCCCGACATGGTGAGAATGAATGACCATACATCTGTTACCGTAAGATTAAAACTTCCCCCAGTTCCCAAAGTGTCTCAGGGCTCATTGAGTTTTTATACTGTATGTGTAGTATAGAAATATGTTCTTTGTATTTTAGTTTTAAAATCAGCTTTATTTAATAAATTAGTTAACTCACAAATAATTTGTGTACCTCATGGAAAATGTATAAAACCACAAAGTTTCAGGTACAACATTCATCATTTTTGAGATTATTTTTTTTTTTTTTGATTTTTGTCTTTTATATATATATAAAAAAAACTGTGATTCTATTATTTGCCGGTTGTTCAGCTTGTATTTGAGTCAATATAAAAATGTGAGAAAGAACTTAAAAGGATCACCCAGATTGAAGTGGTTTTGTGTTTAAAGGTTTTTAGCAATAATATCTTACCTGTTGTAAAGGAGTGGTGGTGCAGAGGTTAGAGAAGGTGGGCCTGTGATTGGAAGATCACCGGTTCAACTCCTGGTACCGACAACATCAAAATGTGAGTGGGATAAGTGAAGCACCCACACCTGCCTCCACTGTATTTGCCCCACTCTGGGCTCTTGAGCAAGGCCCTTAACCCCCACCATCTGCTCCCCCAGGCAACCTAGATGGCAACTCTCTGCTCCACACAGAGAGCTGTGGAAGCTTGATGGTCTGTGTTTGTGTCAGGAAGGACATGCGGTGTAAAAACAATCCCCAAGTCTTCGTACGACGGAGGTAGATGGAGACACGTCTGTGCTGTGCACTGTTTGTGCCAGCAGTTCTCGACTGGAGCGGGGGGTGGACGGCTCAGGGTGAGGGGAAATGGAGTGCTACTTCTGTAGCTTTTTAGCTAGCACGTCTGTATTGCACGCAGCTAGCTTAGCAATACGTCAGTTCTGGCAGTTGTCAACGGGTGGTGGGGGGGGCACAATTAGGTAGGAAGGGCACCCCGTTCTGTTGACGGGGGTGTATGTGTGTGTGTGTGTGTGTGTGTGTGTGTGTGGGGGGGGGGGGGGGGTTGGTTTGGTTTGGTAAGCAGGGCGCTCAGTTCTGTGGATAGGGCACCCTCCTTGTATAATGGTAGGGGAAACAATGGAAAGAATTTGGTTCTGATCAAACTGAAGAGCTGACGGCTAGTGCAGCCAGAACAAGTGACGTTCTCAATGTCACAATGCACAGTTATTTAATGTACATACAATTCTACTTCTATTTTTTTCAAGGCTTTTATAACTGTATGTATTAACAGCTAGCAGCAGTAGGTAGGTGTTGCACTTCCAGTGTAGGAATATCTTCTTTGTGCTAGAATACCTGCTAATATTTGATATTTGTTTTTTTCTTAGAGTATTAGACAACAACCATGAAACTAACTAACTTAGAGTGATTCATTCTTTCTAACGTGTCCTTATTTTATCCTTTACTCATGCGGGGCTAGTTAATAAAGCACAACATGTGTCAGCATGCAGCCTTCTCAACAACATTTTGAGTAGGAGGCTAACGACTCAAGAGTAGGAGGCTGGAGTCATTTCCTAACATCAACACATCGATGTTCTGAGCAACAACAGTATTGGTGAACGCAGACTGTTTAAACACTGATCACTGAAGAAAAGGTCTTACCAGCATCCCAAGCATGAAAAGAGTTATGAAGTCATAATCAGTAGCAGCTGTCAATCAATTTTGTAGTGAGCTAACATACATTTTCAAGAGTCTAATAAATAATTATTTCACAATATTTTATTCTTTATCTTGCAGCAGTCCCAGCTGAAAGCATGCTGCTCAGAAACTTCACTTTGTTTTCTTTAACTCCAGACAAGGTCGTGAAATCTGATCAACATCAAAAGCATCATATTGTGAACATTTAAATTAGACGGTTTTAACCCTTTAACTTTGACTATTCATGTTCTTCAGGGAGAAGTCAACCACCTTATTTAACTGCTTTTAAATACTATTTTTAAATCCAACATTTTTCAGTCAGGTCATCTGGACAGGTTTTTTTTTTTTTTTGCTGAAACATTTCATCACAAAAAAAACAAAAAACTGTCCAGATGACCTGATTGAAAAATGTTGGATTGTATACCTGGATTATTGAGCAAGGACTTTGTTGACTATTTTTAAATATTATTTCCACAAAAAAAAGTAGTCAGTCTTTTAGAGCTATCTCAGCCTGAAATAAAAACATCTATTTTAAATGATTTTTATTTTATTTTAATGCTTTAAGGGTTTTGTTTACAAACTACACTTCAGTGGTTTTTTTTAATTTGACAAAATATTTAATTTTCAATAATAAAAAAATGGCATTTTCCTCCATTAGTATGCCTTCTGGGCCAACATCCACATCCTCCTGTTCTCCAGAACTCAAAACTTATGCTTGGTTCTCATGGCCCAGTCAGAGGGGTTCTGGACCTCCTCCTCTGCACAGAGTCAGATCTCCTAGAGGGGCTCGGTGCTCGCTTCTAAAACAAACCGTGATCACCCTCTTCATCAACAAAGTCCTCTCTGTTTGACTCTGACTGTTTTTCTCCTTCATGATGCTCCTCAGCCTGAGAGGTTCTTGCTCGGCGGTTTTGTCCTCTGGGTCCACCTCATGTTCAAAAATCGTTTCTTTGTCAAACACTCAAACACTCTAAAACTGACTAAACACTAAAAACACCATAACTATAAAACCCATCCATCCATCAATTATTTTTTACCCGCTGCTTTCTTTTTGAGTCGCTGGGGTCACTGGCGCCCATGTCCAGCCATCACTGTGCAAAAGGCGGGGTACACCCTGGACAGGTCACATGTCCATCACAGGGACACACAGAGGCAAACGAGACAAACAACCATTCACTTTCTCACTCACACCTAGAGACAATTTAGTTACCAGTCAGACTAACATGCATGTTTTTGGTCTGTGGGAGGAAACCGGAGTACCCGGAGAAAACCCACTCATATACGGAGAGAACATGTAAACACCCAGAAAGGCCCTCAGACCAGGATTTGAACCAGGGTAACCTGCTCACTGAGAGGCATCAGCTCGAGTAGTTGTGCCACCGTGCTGCCCATATAAAACCCAAACATGCTAAATATCACAAATCTCTCAAACCTCATGACTCCCGCTCTCTCTCAACATGCGCCAAATTCCAAGTTATGAAACTTCTTCTTCCTGCAGTTTTTTTTGGCGCTTGAGAACTTCGAGCCTCTGTCAGAAAGGAGGGGAGAGGTTGTTTATCTGTTTGGAGGGTGTGGGAGGTGAAAGTGTGGGTGATGGAGGTGTTTTGTCCCTGAGACTGCCCATCTTTGCTTTAGCCTCGCACTCTAACGCGCTTCGTATATGACAACGATTTTCAGAAAAAGATGTGGATTATTCATCATAACTCTGGTTTTACTTGGCCTATCAACACAATTTAAAAACTGGTGTGCATTAAAGTCTGTACTTTTGACTAATTAAAATGGAGTCTGAGAGGCTGGCTTTCCCACTAGAGCAACTGAAATTGGTCATGCAACTATCACATGGAGGCGCGTTAATTGACTCCAAAGGAGAAAACAAAAACGTCAGTAGGTGGCGAAATCGTTGCCTCTTTTTAAGAAGGCAGGTCATAACAAACTGTAAAAGCAGTCTTAACAAGTGCTTATTTCAGCTGCTGCTTTCTTATTTAGGATGGTTGCCGGTTTCTTTTTTTTTCTTTCGCTGGAAAAGGGCTTTGTCCATACGGTTAAATTAAAATTTCCTTTACTTACCCAAAGAGTTGCAGCTGAAAACCCTTCTAATGAATTAGATTATTCTTGCAGTTTTCTGCTGGTAATCTTGCTGGCCAAGTTTTATTTTTAAAATCCCCTTATTTTTTATCAAGTGTGATAGATAAAAATGGACAAGGGTGCACATATTCTGTCAGTAAAGCTGAACTCGCATGTGACAATAGCTTTCACTTTCTATGTTTTTCAAAATAAACTATGATGGTAGAAATAGATGCTGGGAGTTGTTTTACTTTTCTTTTTTTTTCGGAGTGATGTAGGCTGTAGATATGCTGTCCAAAAAGACTAGAACTGGACTTTTCTATGA